TCCTCCCACAGATGAGGAATCCTCCTTCTCAGAAGCCCACGTAGCATCAGTAAAGCAAGTGAGAAATAGCTTGCCTTCTCCAAGCCTCTCCCCCTTCTCTTTCAGCACCTCCACCCCTTTCTGCTTCACCTGTGCAGATGCGGAGTATTGAACTCCAATGCTTGGGTGAGAGTTCAGGTACTTCACCACACGCTCAGCTGCATCCACCTGCTCCTCTGATGGATTCTGCACCACCCTAGCCAGCTGCCCAACCGAGAAAGAGATGTCGGGCCTCGTGTGAACTGCTGCGTACAAGAGGCTGCCCACCAAGGACTGAAATTGCTGCTGCTCTTCAGCTTCAACCCCTTCATCCTCTGCAGCCTTCACAAGCTTGAATTCTGCTGGCAGGGGAGTTGCAACCTTGCGCTCATTCTCAATCCCATACTTCTCCCCCAGCTCCTTGATGAACTTCTCCTGGTGCAGCTTCAACCACCTGTGATCTGGATCCCTCTCCACGTGCATCCCGAGGTAGTACTTTACCTCCCCAAGGTTCTTGCACTTGAAGTTTTCCATCAGTTGCTGCTGCACTTTCTGGATCTCCTTCATGCTGCTGCTGAAGAGAAGAATGTCGTCCACATAGACCAGAAACAGCACCAGCTTCTCCCCCTCACCCTTGAGAAAGAGGCTCTCATCACAGCTGCTGGTCCTGAATCCCATCTCCTCTAAAACAGCTGCCAACTTCTGGTACCAGCAGCGTGGCGCCTGCTTCAAGCCGTAGATGGACTTGTTGAGCTTGCACACCCTGCCCGTACCATCCTCATACCCAGGCGGCTGCGTCATGTACACATCCTCCTCTAAAATCCCATTCAGGAATGCCGTTGAAATATCCATCTGAATGATGAATTTCCCACTAACAGCTGCATCTGCCAACAAGACACGGAGGGTAGGGGGTTTGGCAGTGGGAGCAAAGATCTCGTTGAAGTCCTGCTTCTCCTTCTGCATAAACCCCTTCGCCACCAGCCTACTCTTGTAGATGGTGACCTGCCCCTTGTCATCGGTCTTGATCCTCAGCACCCACTTGCATTGTATCGCTTTCTTCCCATCAGGCAGCACCACCAGATCCCATGTCCTATTCTCCAGCAGACTCTGGTACTCAGCATCCCTAGAAGCCAGCCACTTGTCCCTATCTGGTCCAGCTAATGCCTCCTCCATGCTAGCTGGTTCCTCTGGTGCAGGGGCAAGAAAACAGTACGCAGGCTCATCCTCCTCATCCGGGTCATAGCCATGAGGTAGAATCAGCAATGCCTCTTCGGTCCCTAGCTGCTGCTCTGCTGCATCAGTTCCTGCAGTCAGCTTCTTAGTAGCCATACGGGTACGTCCTGGCCTGGAGACGGGTGTCTCCCATCCCTTCATAACGACACCCTTCGGCTTCTTAGTTTTTCCCTGCTGCTTCTCTCCTCCCTCGGGTCCAGCAGCTCCACTAGTGCTGCCGCCAGTTTCCACACCATTTTCTCCACCAGCAGATGCCTCCTGTACCTTCTCTCCATCACCATTTCCAGCAGCTGCCTCCTCTCCCTCCTCCCACACACTAGGAGTCAGGTCCAGCTGCATGGTGATCTGCTCCATCTGCTGGGACGCCCGGGCCTCCGGCTGTTTCTCCCAGCTCCCATACATCATGCCCTCAATGAATTTCACATCCCTGCTGTCAAACAACACACCCTTGGATGGTTCCCACAGCAGCCATCCCTTGCTCTCAGCAGCCAGCCCCAAATGCACACACCAGATTGCACTCGCCCCCAACTTACTGCGGTAGGTCTTGGGGACGTGGGCGACTGCCATGCAACCGAACACCCTCAGCATGTCCACCGGCGGCTTCCTCCCAAGCCACCTCTCCAACGGCACCCACGAGTCATCCCCAACCTTGGTGAGCACCCTGTTCCTAGCGACAGTGGCGTGCCGGACAGCATGAGGCCACATAGAATTGCTCAGCCCAGATTCTATGAGCAGCGCCCTAGCTGTCTCCAGAATGGTCCGGTTTGCCCGTTCTGCTACACCATTGGACTGTGGGGTATAAGCCGTGGTCAGCTCTCTCTGGATGCCCTGCTTCTTGAGCCAGGCCGTCATTTCAGCTCCAAGGAACTCACCACCCCGGTCTGTCCTAATCCGCTTCACTACACACTCCGCCTGCTTCTCCACGAATGGCAGCCAATCGTCCCGTATCGTGGAGGCGGCGTGGTCCTTCTGCTTCAGCGGATACGCCCACATCAGCCTGCTCCAGTCATCCACAATTGTAAGAAAATACCGCTCCCCCTTGTGCCCTTGCACCGGCAGCGGCCCCACCAAGTCCATGTGGACCAGCTCCAAAGGCTTCTTGCTCCTGCCAGCCACACTATGGAAGGGGAAACGGGTGAACTTTGAAAGCAAACAGATTTCACAGTTGTCATCGGGTGGCTGTCCGTTCAGCTTCAGACCCTTAACGGCTCCATCCTTCTCCAGCTGCTTCAGCAAAGGCATTGCCACATGCCCTAAGCGCCGGTGTGCCGTTGCCCAATCTGTCTCCCCAGATCTGGCCGACACTTTCACACCAACCCCTCCAACGGCATTGCACTCCCCCTGGGATGCAGACCCCTCTCCAGCCTGCCCCCCACCATGCCACGCCAGGGCCGGCAGCTGCCACATAGATCTGTACACGTCCTTGCTCTCGTGCAGATCCCAAAGCACCCGATTGCCCAGCTTCCCCTTATAAGTGCGTGCCCTATCCGTGTTGGTGTTCACCCCAGCCTTGCCAAGCTTACGGAGGGAGATAAGGTTGGCCTTCAGGTCGGGGACGAAGAGAACGTCGTGCAGCACCACCGGCTTGCCATCCGCTCCCTTAAACGCAGCTCGTCCCGCACCAGCCACCTTCAACATGTGTCCAGAGGCGGAGCACACTTCATTGATCGGTGCAGCTCGTACTTCGTCCAGCAGGTCCTTGCGCGGCGTCATCGTCCAAGCAGCGCCTGTGTCCAACACCCAATAGTCTAGGGGGTGCAGCTCTGCTCCAACTTTGGCAGAGGCGTCTCCTTGCTCCCCCTTGTCTCCCACATGGAAGAATTGGCCCGCGGTGCGCTCCTTCTTCTTCTCCGCACCGCCGTTGCCCTTCGGGTTGTTGTCGGACGAATCAGCGACCATGTTGGCGCCGTTTTTCTGGTTCCTCCGCGCGCCGCCATCCTGGTGACGATTCTGGGGGGTCCATCCATCGGGTTTCTTATAGCACAAAAACCAGGGGTGCCCTTCCTTCTCACAATACCAGCAACTCCCTTTCATTTTGCCACCAGCACCCGACTTGCCCCCACGTCCAGATTTCGCACCGCGACCCCAACCGGTACCTCCTTGTTGGTCGTTGGAGTCGTCGTCTTTCTTTGCACCGCGTCCAGCACCACCGAAGCCACGTCCTCTGCCACGTCGGCTCCCTTGCATCCCGTAGCCGCTGCTGCCGTCGTCTCCACCCCTCAGTTGGCGGCGACGGAAGTCCTCCTCCAGAATCTTCGTCCGCACCCACTCGAGCGTCCACAAGCTCTGGTTCTGCGGCAGGCTCAATCCGCTCGTAAATTGAAGCCACGATTCCGGCAGCAGCGAGAGCATCTTCAAGCACTTGGTCTGCTCCGGGTAGGTGATTCCCGCGGTCGCCAACTTCGCGTAGAGGTCGCGCATCTTGTCCAGGACTGGTTGCACCGGCTCTCCCTCGCTCAGGCGCAACGCGGACAGCTCCCTCTCCAGCATCAACGTTGCGACAACGGAGGTCGGGGCGTGCAGCTCCTTCAACACGGTCCACGCCTTCGGACCGCATTCAACCTCCGGCAGCAGGTGCATGACGTGGTGACGCTGGTTCAGCTCCAAACTCTGCGACATCAAATAGTAGCCAGCCGAGGAGTGCTCGTCCCAATCTTCCTGCAGCGTGGGGTCACTCGGTCTAGGCTCCTCCCCAATCATTAGTTTCAGCAAACCGATCTGACGGAAATATAATTGCATTTTCCAGGCCCAATCATCATAGCCCTCACCATTGAACTTCTCGACGGTGAAATTCTTCAGCACCTCCTTGACAAGCGAGCCCTGGTTTGTTCGCGCTCCCCTTGGCGCTGAAAGACCAGAATCTTGGCTGCCGCTACGATCTTGGGCTGAAGATTCACCAGCTGCCGCCGAGGTGTTGCCCGCCATAGCTACCTATAACGAGGATCACTATAACGCAGCTCTGATACCAGCTTGTTGGTGTAAGGGTCTAATAAACTCAAGCTATTAGGACTTAATCAAACTTAAAACCTCTCCTCGGGGTCACCTCCAAGGGTCCCTGGGTGCCTGGTACAAGACCAGCCCCTATCCTCGGGTCCGAGTTTGTAGAGAGAGGGATCAAGAAGGACTTAGTCAAAACAGCAAGAGTACCTTGAACGTCGCGCAGCGTGCCGTGCAGACCGTCGGTCGGATTAAGCTGAGAATTCGCTATATCGAAGCTCGCTCCAAGAGCTTTAAAATGAGCCAAGTTGCCTCGCGAAAAGTTCTGCCATTACTAAGTTATGGCTCGGAAAGCGTTTGCCTAGCATTGGAGTGCTAGCATACTAGCGTTGACTCGGGTAGCATTCCGCCGTCGAATAGCGCAGAAACGAAATTCCAGCGAGGAAGGAATTCGCTTGAATCAATTTGACTATATTCAGGTACAAACAGAGAAGGATTAAATAGTTCTAGCTAGCAAGGACCTTGGGAATCAACCTGGGAACAACCAGGGATGATCCCAAATAATTCCAAGCAACAGAACCAACCTGGCTGGACAAAATAGCAGGTGGTAGGTTGGTAAACAACCTCTGGTTCTGTTTTTCCAACCTGGGAAAACAACAACCAGGTTCAGGTTCTAAAAACAGAACCTGTTTTGTCTTTGCCCAACCAGCCAAATGCTGGTTCCGCTGGTTTCCCCTGGCCTTGTAGCATGCAGATACAGACAAACAACATCCAACCTTCACCTAAATTGTACCCCTATAGTGCCTTCCCTGCTACACTATAGTTAACCAAACAAAACAGTACAATTTCGAGTTGGATAGAACTGAATCTGCGCAATCAACTCAACCGAACTGCAAAGCTTCCATCTTGGGTTCCTTCGCGAGCTCGTCCTTTCTGCTTGCACTGTTCATAGCGCGTACAATGTTGTGCCGAAGCGCACATTGCGCGAGTACCTGCAAATGCATCAAGCGAAAAATGCAAAAGCAAACAAACATACGAACACACCATTCACACGCAAATGCATTCGCACACGCATACTCGTACAAACAGACGGCAGGATGTCGTGCAATGTGCATTTGCACCCAACAAGAATGGGAACATGGCAGTGGGATGGTGAGAATGGGAACATGGCAGTGGGATGGTGAGAATGGGAACATGGCAGTGGGATGGTGAGAATGGGAACATGGCAGTGGGATGGTGAGAATGGCAACATGGCAATGTGATGGTGAGAATGGGAACATGGCAGTGGGATGGTGAGAATTTGAACTTGGCAGTGGGATGGTGAAAATGGCGACATGGCAGTGAGATGGTGAGAATGGGAACATAGCAGTGGGATGGTGAGAATGGGGAACATGGCAGTGGGATGGTGAGAATGGCAACATGGCAGTGGGATGGTGAGAATGGGAACATGGCAGTGGGATGGTGAGAATGGGAACATGACAGTGGAATGGTGAGAATGGGAACATGGCAGTGGGATGGTGAGAATGGGAACATGGCAGTGGGATGGTGAGAATGGGAACATGGCAGTGGGATGGTGAGAATGGGAACATGGCAGTGGGATGGTGAGAATGGGAACATGGCAGTGGGATGGTGAGAATGGGAACATGGCAGTGGGATGGTGAGAATGGGAACATGGCAGTGGGATGGTGAGAATGGGAACATGGCAGTGGGATGGTGAGAATGGGAACATGGCAGTGGGATGGTGAGAATGGGAACATGGCAGTGGGATGGTGAGAATGGGAACATGGCAGTGGGATGGTGAGAATGGGAACATGGCAGTGGGATGGTGAGAATGGGAACATGGCAGTGGGATGGTGAGAATGGGAACATGGCAGTGGGATGGTGAGAATGGGAACATGGCAGTGGGATGGTGAGAATGGGAACATGGCAGTGGGATGGTGAGAATGGGAACATGGCAGTGGGATGGTGAGAATGGGAACATGGCAGTGGGATGGTGAGAATGGGAACATGGCAGTGGGATGGTGAGAATGGCAACATGGCAGTGGGATGGTGAGAATGGGAACATGGCAGTGGGATGGTGAGAATGGGAACATGGCAGTGGGATGGTGAGAATGGGAACATGGCAGTGGGATGGTGAGAATGGGAACATGGCAGTGGGATGGTGAGAATGGGAACATGGCAGTGGGATGGTGAGAATGGGAACATGGCAGTGGGATGGTGAGAATGGGAACATGGCAGTGGGATGGTGAGAATGGGAACATGGCAGTGGGATGGTGAGAATGGGAACATGGCAGTGGGATGGTGAGAATGGGAACATGGCAGTGGGATGGTGAGAATGGGAACATGGCAGTGGGATGGTGAGAATGGGAACATGGCAGTGGGATGGTGAGAATGGGAACATGGCAGTGGGATGGTGAGAATGGGAACATGGCAGTGGGATGGTGAGAATGGGAACATGGCAGTGGGATGGTGAGAATGGGAACATGGCAGTGGGATGGTGAGAATGGGAACATGGCAGTGGGATGGTGAGAATGGGAACATGGCAGTGGGATGGTGAGAATGGGAACATGGCAGTGGGATGGTGAGAATGGGAACATGGCAGTGGGATGGTGAGAATGGGAACATGGCAGTGGGATGGTGAGAATGGGAACATGGCAGTGGGATGGTGAGAATGGGAACATGGCAGTGGGATGGTGAGAATGGCAACATGGCAGTGGGATGGTGAGAATGGGAACATGGCAGTGGGATGGTGAGAATGGGAACATGACAGTGGAATGGTGAGAATGGGAACATGGCAGCGCGATGGTGAGAATGGCAACATGGCAGTGGGATGGTGAGAATGGGAACATGGCAGTGGGATGGTGAGAATGGGAACATGGCAGTGGGATGGTGAGAATGGGAACATGGCAGTGGGATGGTGAGAATGGGAACATGGCAGTGGGATGGTGAGAATGGGAACATGGCAGTGGGATGGTGAGAATGGGAACATGGCAGTGGGATGGTGAGAATGGGAACATGGCAGTGGGATGGTGAGAATGGGAACATGGCAGTGGGATGGTGAGAATGGCAACATGGCAGTGGGATGGTGAGAATGGGAACATGGCAGTGGGATGGTGAGAATGGGAACATGGCAGTGGGATGGTGAGAATGGGAACATGGCAGTGGGATGGTGAGAATGGGAACATGGCAGTGGGATGGTGAGAATGGGAACATGGCAGTGGGATGGTGAGAATGGCAACATGGCAGTGGGATGGTGAGAATGGAACATGCGTGGGATGGTGAGAATGGGAACATGGCAGTGGGATGGTGAGAATGGGAACATGGCAGTGGGATGGTGAGAATGGGAACATGGCAGTGGGATGGTGAGAATGGGAACATGGCAGTGGGATGGTGAGAATGGGAACATGGCAGTGGGATGGTGAGAATGGGAACATGGCAGTGAGATTGGTGAAAATGGCGACATGGCAGTGGGATGGTGAGAATGGGAACATGGCAGTGGGATGGTGAGAATGGCAACATGGGCAGTGCGATGGTGTGAATGGGAACATGGCAGTGGGATGGTGAGAATGGGAACATGGCAGTGGGATGGTGAGAATGGGAACATGGCAGTGGGATGGTGAGAATGGGAACATGGCAGTGGGATGGTGAGAATGGGAACATGGCAGTGGGATGGTGAGAATGGGAACATGGCAGTGGGATGGTGAGAATGGGAACATGGCAGTGGGATGGTGAGAATGGGAACATGGCAGTGGGATGGTGAGAATGGGAACATGGCAGTGGGATGGTGAGAATGGCAACATGGCAGTGGGATGGTGAGAATGGGAACATGGCAGTGGGATGGTGAGAATGGGAACATGGCAGTGGGATGGTGAGAATGGCAACATGGCAGTGGGATGGTGAGAATGGGAACATGGCAGTGGGATGGTGAGAATGGCAACATGGCAGTGGGATGGTGAGATGGGAGCATGGCATTGGGATGGTGAGAATGGGAACATGGCAGTGGGATGGTGAGAATGGGAACATGGCAGTGGGATGGTGAGAATGGGAACATGGCAGTGGGATGGTGAGAATTGAACATGGCAGTGGGATGGTGAAAAATGGCGACATGGCAGTGATGATGGTGAGAATGGGAACATGGCAGTGGGATGGTGAGAATGGGAACATGGCAGTGGGATGGTGAGAATGGCAACATGGCAGTGGGATGGTGAGAATGGCAACATGGCAGTGGGATGGTGAGAATGGGAACATGGCAGTGGGATGGTGAGAATGGGAACATGGCAGTGGGATGGTGAGAATGGCAACATGGCAGTGGGATGGTGAGAATAGAAACATGGCAGTGGGATGGTGAGAATGGGAACATGGCAGTGGGATGGTGAGATGGGAGCATGGCAGTGGATGGTGAGAATGGGAGCATGGCAGTGGGATGGTGAGAATGGGAACATGGCAGTGGGATGGTGAGAATGGGAACATGGCAGAGGATGTGAGAATGGGAGCATGGCAGTGGGATGGTGAGAATGGGAACATGGCAGTGGGATGGTGAGAATGGGAACATGGCAGTGCGATGTGAGAATGGGAACATGGCAGAGGGATGGTGAGAACGGGAACATGGCAGTGGGATGGTGAGAATGGGAACATGGCAGTGGGATGGTGAGAATGGGAACATGGCAGTGGGATGGTGAGAATGGGAACATGGCAGTGGGATGGTGAGAATGGGAACATGGCAGTGGGATGGTGAGAATGGGAACATGGCAGTGGGATGGTGAGAATGGGAACATGGCAGTGGGATGGTGAGATTGCGAACATGGCAGTGGGATGGTGAGAATAAAACATGGCAGAGGGATGGTGAGAATGGGAACATGGCAGTGGGATGGTGAGAATGGCAACATGGCAGTGGGATGGTGAGAATGGGAACATGGCAGTGGGATGGTGAGAATGGGAACATGGCAGTGGGATGGTGAGAATGGCAACATGGCAGTGGGATGGTGAGAATGGGAACATGGCAGTGGGATGGTGAGATTGCGAACATGGCAGTGGGATGGTGAGAATGGGAACATGGCAGTGGGATGGTGAGAATGGGAACATGGCAGTGGGATGGTGAGAATGGGAACATGGCAGTGGGATGGTGAGAATGGGAACATGGCAGTGGGATGGTGAGAATGGGAACATGGCAGTGGGATGGTGAGAATGGGAACATGGCAGTGGGATGGTGAGAATGGGAACATGGCAGTGGGATGGTGAGAATGGGAACATGGCAGTGGGATGGTGAGAATGGGAACATGGCAGTGGGATGGTGAGAATGGGAACATGGCAGTGGGATGGTGAGAATGGGAACATGGCAGTGGGATGGTGAGAATGGGAACATGGCAGTGGGATGGTGAGAATGGCAACATGGCAGTGGGATGGTGAGAATGGGAACATGGCAGTGGGATGGTGAGAATGGGAACATGGCAGTGGGATGGTGAGAATGGGAACATGGCAGTGGGATGGTGAGAATGGCAACATGGCAGTGGGATGGTGAGAATGGGAACATGGCAGTGGGATGGTGAGAATGGGAACATGGCAGTGGGATGGTGAGAATGGCAACATGGCAGTGGGATGGTGAGAATGGGAACATGGCAGTGGGATGGTGAGAATGGGAACATGAGAGTGGAATGGTGAGAATGGGAACATGGCAGTGGGATGGTGAGAATGGGAACATGGCAGTGGGATGGTGAGAATGGGAACATGGCAGTGGGTGTTGGGTGCAAATGCACATTGCACGACATCCTGCCGTCTGTTTGTAAGAGTATGCGTGTGCGAATGCATTTGTGTGTGAATGGTGTGTTCGTGTGTTTGTTTGCTTTCGCATTTTTCGCTTGATGCATTTGCAGGTACTCGCGCAATGTGCGCTTCGGCACAACATTGTATGCGCTATGAACAGTGCAAGCAGAAAGGACGAGCTCGCAAAGGAACCCAAGATGGAAGCTTTGCAGTTCGGTTGAGTTGATTGCGCAGATTCAGTTCTATCCAACTCGAAATTGTACTGTTTTTGTTTGGTTAACTATAGTGTAGCAGGGAAGGCACTATAGGGGTACAATTTAGGTGAAGGTTGGATGTTGTTTGTCTGTATCTGCATGCTACAAGGCCAGGGGAAACCAGCGGAACCAGCATTTGGCTGGTTGGGCAAAGACAAAACAGGTTCTGTTTTTAGAACCTGAACCTGGTTGTTGTTTTCCCAGGTTGGAAAAACAGAACCAGAGGTTGTTTACCAACCTACCACCTGCTATTTTGTCCAGCCAGGTTGGTTCTGTTGCTTGGAATTATTTGGGATCATCCCTGGTTGTTCCCAGGTTGATTCCCAAGGTCCTTGCTAGCTAGAACTATTTAATCCTTCTCTGTTTGTACCTGAATATAGTCAAATTGATTCAAGCGAATTCCTTCCTCGCTGGAATTTCGTTTCTACTCGGTTCGTTGGCGGAATGCTACCCGAGTCAACGCTAGTACGCTAGCACTCTAATGCTAGGCAAACACCGTCTGAGCCATAACTTAGTAATGGCAGAACATTTCGCGAGGCAACTTGGCTCATTTTAAAGCTCTTGGAGCGAGCTTCGATATAGCGAATTCTCAGCTTAATCCGATCGACAGTCTGCACGGCACGCTGCGCGACGTTCAAGGTGCTCTTGCTGTTTTGACTAAGTCCTTCTTGATCCCTCTCTCTACAAACTCGGACCCGAGGATAGGGGCTGGTCTTGTACCAGGCACCCAGGGACCCTTGGAGGTGACCCCGAGGAGAGGTTTTAAGTTTGATTAAGTCCTAATAGCTTGAGTTTATTAGGCCCTTACACCAACAAGCTGGTATCAGAGCTGCGTTATAGTGATCCTCGTTATAGGTAGCTATGGCGGGCAACACCTTGGCGGGAGCTGGTGAATCTTCAGCCCAAGATCGTAGCGGCAGCCAAGGTTCTGGTCTTTCAGCGCCAAGGGGAGCGCGAACAAACCAGGGCTCGCTTGTCAAGGAGGTGCTGAAGAATTTCACCGTCGAGAAGTTCAATGGTGAGGGCTATGATGATTGGGCCTGGAAAATGCAATTATATTTCCGTCAGATCGGTTTGCTGAAACTAATGATTGGGGAGGAGCCTAGACCGAGTGACCCCACGCTGCAGGAAGATTGGGACGAGCGCTCCTCGGCTGGCTACTATTTGATGTCGCAGAGTTTGGAGCTGAACCAGCGTCACCACGTCATGCACCTGCTGCCGGAGGTTGAATGCGGTCCGAAGGCGTGGACCGTGTTGAAGGAGCTGCACGCCCCGACCTCCGTTGTCGCAACGTTGATGCTGGAGAGGGAGCTGTCCGCGTTGCGCCTGAGCGAGGGAGAGCCGGTGCAACCAGTCCTGGACAAGATGCGCGACCTCTACGCGAAGTTGGCGACCACGGGAATCACCTACCCGGAGCAGACCAAGTGCTTGAAGATGCTCTCGCTGCTGCCAGAATCGTGGCTTCAATTTACGAGCGGATTGAGCCTGCCGCAGAACCAGAGCTTGTGGACGCTCGAGTGGGTGCGGACGAAGATTCTGGAGGAGGACTTCCGTCGCCGCCAACTGAGGGGTGGAGACGACGGCAGCAGCGGCTACGGGATGCAAGGGAGCCGACGTGGCAGAGGACGTGGCTTCGGTGGTGCTGGACGCGGTGCAAAGAAAGACGACGACTCCAACGACCAACAAGGAGGTACCGGTTGGGGTCGCGGTGCGAAATCTGGACGTGGGGGCAAGTCGGGTGCTGGTGGCAAAATGAAAGGGAGTTGCTGGTATTGTGAGAAGGAAGGGCACCCCTGGTTTTTGTGCTATAAGAAACCCGATGGATGGACCCCCCAGAATCGTCACCAGGATGGCGGCGCGCGGAGGAACCAGAAAAACGGCGCCAACATGGTCGCTGATTCGTCCGACAACAACCCGAAGGGCAACGGCGGTGCGGAGAAGAAGAAGGAGCGCACCACGGGCCAATTCTTCCATGTGGGAGACAAGGGGAGCAAGGAGACGCCTCTGCCAAAGTTGGAGCAGAGTTGCACCCCCTAGACTATTGGGTGTTGGACACAGGCGCTGCTTGGACGATGACGCCGCGCAAGGACCTGCTGGACGAAGTACGAGCTGCACCGATCAATGAAGTGTGCTCCGCCTCTGGACACATGTTGAAGGTGGCTGGTGCGGGACGAGCTGCGTTTAAGGGAGCGGATGGCAAGCCGGTGGTGCTGCACGACGTTCTCTTCGTCCCCGACCTGAAGGCCAACCTTATCTCCCTCCGTAAGCTTGGCAAGGCTGGGGTGAACACCAACACGGATGGGGCACGCACTTATAAGGGGCAGCTGGGCAATCGGGTGCTTTGGGATCTGCACGAGAGCAAGGACGTGTACAGATCTATGTGGCAGCTGCCGGCCCTGGCGTGGCATGGTGGGGGGCAGGCTGGAGAGGGGTCTGCATCCCAGGGGGAGTGCAATGCCGTTGGAGGGGTTGGTGTGAAAGTGTCGGCCAGATCTGGGGAGACAGATTGGGCAACGGCACACCGGCGCTTAGGGCATGTGGCAATGCCTTTGCTGAAGCAGCTGGAGAAGGACGGAGCCGTTAAGGGTCTGAAGCTGAACGGACAGCCACCCGATGACAACTGTGAAATCTGTTTGCTTTCAAAGTTCACCCGTTTCCCTTTCCATAGTGTGGCTGGCAGGAGCAAGAAGCCTTTGGAGCTGGTCCACATGGACTTGGTGGGGCCGCTGCCGGTGCAAGGGCACAAGGGGGAGCGGTATTTTCTTACAATTGTGGATGACTGGAGCAGGCTGATGTGGGCGTATCCGCTGAAGCAGAAGGACCACGCCGCCTCCACGATACGGGACGATTGGCTGCCATTCGTGGAGAAGCAGGCGGAGTGTGTAGTGAAGCGGATTAGGACAGACCGGGGTGGTGAGTTCCTTGGAGCTGAAATGACGGCCTGGCTCAAGAAGCAGGGCATCCAGAGAGAGCTGACCACGGCTTATACCCCACAGTCCAATGGTGTAGCAGAACGGGCAAACCGGACCATTCTGGAGACAGCTAGGGCGCTGCTCATAGAATCTGGGCTGAGCAATTCTATGTGGCCTCATGCTGTCCGGCACGCCACTGTCGCTAGGAACAGGGTGCTCACCAAGGTTGGGGATGACTCGTGGGTGCCATTGGAGAGGTGGCTTGGGAGGAAGCCGCCGGTGGATATGCTGAGGGTGTTTGGCTGCATGGCAGTCGCCCACGTCCCCAAGACCTACCGCAGTAAGTTGGGGGCGAGTGCAATCTGGTGTGTGCATTTGGGGCTGGCTGCTGAGAGCAAGGGATGGCTGCTGTAGGGGCAAGAAAACAGTACGCAGGCTCATCCTCCTCATCCGGGTCATAGCCATGAGGTAGAATCAGCAATGCCTCTTCGGTCCCTAGCTGCTGCTCTGCTGCATCAGTTCCTGCAGTCAGCTTCTTAGTAGCCATACGGGTACGTCCTGGCCTGGAGACGGGTGTCTCCCATCCCTTCATAACGACACCCTTCGGCTTCTTAGTTTTTCCCTGCTGCTTCTCTCCTCCCTCGGGTCCAGCAGCTCCACTAGTGCTGCCGCCAGTTTCCACACCATTTTCTCCACCAGCAGATGCCTCCTGTACCTTCTCTCCATCACCATTTCCAGCAGCTGCCTCCTCTCCCTCCTCCCACACACTAGGAGTCAGGTCCAGCTGCATGGTGATCTGCTCCATCTGCTGGGACACCCTTGCCTCCGGCTGTTTCTCCCAGCTCCCATACATCATGCCCTCAATGAATTTCACATCCCTGCTGTCAAACAACACACCCTTGGATGGTTCCCACAGCAGCCATCCCTTGCTCTCAGCAGCCAGCCCCAAATGCACACACCAGATTGCACTCGCCCCCAACTTACTGCGGTAGGTCTTGGGGACGTGGGCGACTGCCATGCAACCGAACACCCTCAGCATGTCCACCGGCGGCTTCCTCCCAAGCCACCTCTCCAACGGCACCCACGAGTCATCCCCAACCTTGGTGAGCACCCTGTTCCTAGCGACAGTGGCGTGCCGGACAGCATGAGGCCACATAGAATTGCTCAGCCCAGATTCTATGAGCAGCGCCCTAGCTGTCTCCAGAATGGTCCGGTTTGCCCGTTCTGCTACACCATTGGACTGTGGGGTATAAGCCGTGGTCAGCTCTCTCTGGATGCCCTGCTTCTTGAGCCAGGCCGTCATTTCAGCTCCAAGGAACTCACCACCCCGGTCTGTCCTAATCCGCTTCACTACACACTCCGCCTGCTTCTCCACGAATGGCAGCCAATCGTCCCGTATCGTGGAGGCGGCGTGGTCCTTCTGCTTCAGCGGATACGCCCACATCAGCCTGCTCCAGTCATCCACAATTGTAAGAAAATACCGCTCCCCCTTGTGCCCTTGCACCGGCAGCGGCCCCACCAAGTCCATGTGGACCAGCTCCAAAGGCTTCTTGCTCTTGCCAGCCACACTATGGAAAGGGAAACGGGTGAACTTTGAAAGCAAACAGATTTCACAGTTGTCATCGGGTGGCTGTCCGTTCAGCTTCAGACCCTTAACGGCTCCATCCTTCTCCAGCTGCTTCAGCAAAGGCATTGCCACATGCCCTAAGCGCCGGTGTGCCGTTGCCCAATCTGTCTCCCCAGATCTGGCCGACACTTTCACACCAACCCCTCCAACGGCATTGCACTCCCCCTGGGATGCAGACCCCTCTCCAGCCTGCCCCCCACCATGCCACGCCAGGGCCGGCAGCTGCCACATAGATCTGTACACGTCCTTGCTCTCGTGCAGATCCCAAAGCACCCGATTGCCCAGCTTCCCCTTATAAGTGCGTGCCCCATCCGTGTTGGTGTTCACCCCAGCCTTGCCAAGCTTACGGAGGGAGATAAGGTTGGCCTTCAGGTCGGGGACGAAGAGAACGTCGTGCAGCACCACCGGCTTGCCATCCGCTCCCTTAAACGCAGCTCGTCCCGCACCAGCCACCTTCAACATGTGTCCAGAGGCGGAGCACACTTCATTGATCGGTGCAGCTCGTACTTCGTCCAGCAGGTCCTTGCGCGGCGTCATCGTCCAAGCAGCGCCTGTGTCCAACACCCAATAGTCTAGGGGGTGCAGCTCTGCTCCAACTTTGGCAGAGGCGTCTCCTTGCTCCCCCTTGTCTCCCACATGGAAGAATTGGCCCGCGGTGCGCTCCTTCTTCTTCTCCGCACCGCCGTTGCCCTTCGGGTTGTTGTCGGACGAATCAGCGACCATGTTGGCGCCGTTTTTCTGGTTCCTCCGCGCGCCGCCATCCTGGTGACGATTCTGGGGGGTCCATCCATCGGGTTTCTTATAGCACAAAAACCAGGGGTGCCCTTCCTTCTCACAATACCAGCAACTCCCTTTCATTTTGCCACCAGCACCCGACTTGCCCCCACGTCCAGATTTCGCACCGCGACCCCAACCGGTACCTCCTTGTTGGTCGTTGGAGTCGTCGTCTTTCTTTGCACCGCGTCCAGCACCACCAAAGCCACGTCCTCTGCCACGTCGGCTCTCTTGCATCCCGTAGCTGCTGCTGCCGTCGTCTCCACCCCTCAGTTGGCGGCGACGGAAGTCCTCTTCCAGAATCTTCGTCCGCACCCACTCGAGCGTCCACAAGCTCTGGTTCTGCGGCAGGCTCAATCCGCTCGTGAATTGAAGCCACGATTCAGGCAGCAGCGAGAGCATCTTCAAGCACTTGGTCTGCTCCGGGTAGGTGATTCCCGCGGTCGCCAACTTCGCGTAGAGGTCGCGCATCTTGTCCAGGACAGGTTGCACCGGCTCTCCCTCGCTCAGGCGCAACGCGGACAGCTCCCTCTCCAGCATCAACGTTGCGACAACGGAGGTCGGGGCGTGCAGCTCCTTCAACACGGTCCACGCCTTCGGACCGCATTCAACCTCCGGCAGCAGATGCATGACGTGGTGACGCTGGTTCAGCTCCAAACTCTGCGACATCAAATAGTAGCCAGCCGAGGAGCGCTCGTCCCAATCTTCCTGCAGCGTGGGGTCACTCGGTCTAGGCTCCTCCCCAATCATTAGTTTCAGCAAACCGATCTGACGGAAATATAATTGCATTTTCCAGGCCCAATCATCATAGCCCTCACCATTGAACTTCTCGACGGTGAAATTCTTCAGCACCTCCTTGACAAGCGAGCCCTGGTTTGTTCGCGCTCCCCTTGGCGCTGAAAGACCAGAATCTTGGCTGCCGCTACGATCTTGGGCTGAAGATTCACCAGCTCCCGCCGAGGTGTTGCCCGCCATAGCTACCTATAACGAGGATCACTATAACGCAGCTCTGATACCAGCTTGTTGGTGTAAGGGCCTAATAAACTCAAGCTATTAGGACTTAATCAAACTTAAAACCTCTCCTCGGGGTCACCTCCAAGGGTCCCTGGGTGCCTGGTACAAGACCAGCCCCTATCCTCGGGTCCGAGTTTGTAGAGAGAGGGATCAAGAAGGACTTAGTCAAAACAGCAAGAGTACCTTGAACGTCGCGCAGCGTGCCGTGCAGACCGTCGATCGGATTAAGCTGAGAATTCGCTATATCGAAGCTCGCTCCAAGAGCTTTAAAATGAGCCAAGTTGCCTCGCGAAAAGTTCTGCCATTACTAAGTTCTGGCTCGGACAGCGTTTGCCTAGCGTTGGAGTGCTAGCATACTAGCGTTGACTCGGGTAGCATTCCGCCGTCGAATAGCGCAGAAACGAAATTCCAGCGAGGAAGGAATTCGCTTGAATCAATTTGACTATATTCAGGTACAAACAGAGAAGGATTAAATAGTTCTAGCTAGCAAGGACCTTGGGAATCAACCTGGGAACAACCAGGGATGATCCCAAATAATTCCAAGCAACAGAACCAACCTGGCTGGACAAAATAGCAGGTGGTAGGTTGGTAAACAACCTCTGGTTCTGTTTTTCCAACCTGGGAAAACAACAACCAGGTTCAGGTTCTAAAAACAGAACCTGTTTTGTCTTTGCCCAACCAGCCAAATGCTGGTTCCGCTGGTTTCCCCTGGCCTTGTAGCATGCAGATACAGACAAACAACATCCAACCTTCACCTAAATTGTACCCCTATAGTGCCTTCCCTGCTACACTATAGTTAACCAAACAAAACAGTACAATTTCGAGTTGGATAGAACTGAATCTGCGCAATCAATTCAACCGAACTGCAAAGCTTCCATCTTGGGTTCCTTTGCGAGCTCGTCCTTTCTGCTTGCACTGTTCATAGCGCATACAATGTTGTGCCGAAGCGCACATTGCGCGAGTACCTGCAAATGCATCAAACGAAAAATGCGAAAGCAAACAAACACACGAACACACCATTCACACACAAATGCATTCGCACACGCATACTCGTACAAAACAGACGGCAGGATGTCGTGCAATGTGCATTTGCACCCAACACATGGCAGTGGGATGGTGAGAATGGGAACATGGCAGTGGGATGGTGAGAATGGGAACATGGCAGTGGGATGGTGAGAATGGGAACATGGCAGTGGGATGGTGAGAATGGGAACATGGCAGTGGGATGGTGAGAATGGGAACATGGCAGTGGGATGGTGAGAATGGGAACATGGCAGTGGGATGGTGAGAATGGGAACATGGCAGTGGGATGGTGAGAATGGGAACATGGCAGTGGGATGGTGAGAATGGCAACATGGCAATGCGATGGTGAGAATGGCAACATGGCAGTGGGATGGTGAGAATGGGAACATGGCAGTGGGATGGTGAAAATGGAAACATGGCAGTGGGATGGTGTGAATGGGAACATGGCAGTGGGATGGTGAGAATGGGAACATGGCAGTGGGATGGTGAGAATGGGAACATGGCAGTGGGATGGTGAGAATGGCAACATGGCAGTGGGATGGTGAGAATGGGAACATGGCAGTGGGATGGTGAGATTGCGAACATGGCAGTGGGATGGTGAGAATAAGAACATGGCAGAGGGATGGTGAGAATGGGAACATGGCAGTGGGATGGTGAGAATGGCAACATGGCAGTGGGATGGTGAGAATGGGAACATGGCAGTGGGATGGTGAGAATGGGAACATGGCAGTGGGATGGTGAGAATGGGAACATGGCAGTGGGATGGTGAGAATGGGAACATGGCAGTGGGATGGTGAGAATGGGAACATGGCAGTGAGAGGTGAGAATGGGAACATGGCAGTGGGATGGTGAGAATGGGAACATGGCAGTGGGATGGTGAGAATGGGAACATGGCAGTGGGATGGTGAGAATGGGAACATGGCAGTGGGATGGTGAGAATGGGAACATGGCAGAGGGATAGTGAGAATGGGAACATGGCAGTGGGATGGTGAGAATGGGAACATGGCAGTGGGATGGTGAGAATGGGAACATGGCAGTGGGATGGTGAGAATGGGAACATGGCAGTGGGATGGTGAGAATGGGAACATGGCAGAGGGATAGTGAGAATGGGAACATGGCAGTGGGATGGTGAGAATGGGAACATGGCAGTGGGATGGTGAGAATGGCAACATGGCAGTGGGATGGTGAGAATGGGAACATGGCAGTGGGATGGTGAGAATGGGAACATGGCAGTGGGATGGTGAGAATGGGAACATGGCAGTGGGATGGTGAGAATGGGAACATGGCAGTGGGATGGTGAGAATGGGAACATGGCAGTGGGATGGTGAGAATGGGAACATGGCAGTGGGATGGTGAGAATGGGAACATGGCAGTGGGATGGTGAGAATGGGAACATGGCAGTGGGATGGTGAGAATGGGAACATGGCAGTGGGATGGTGAGAATGGCAACATGGCAGTGGGATGGTGAGAATGGGAACATGGCAGTGGGATGGTGAGAATGGGAACATGGCAGTGGGATGGTGAGAATGGGAACATGGCAGTGGGATGGTGAGAATGGGAACATGGCAGTGGGATGGTGAGAATGGCAACATGGCAGTGGGATGGTGAGAATGGGAACATGGCAGTGGGATGGTGAGAATGGGAACATGGCAGTGGGATGGTGAGAATGGGAACATGGCAGTGGGATGGTGAGAATGGCAACATGGCAGTGGGATGGTGAGAATGGGAACATGGCAGTGGGATGGTGAGAATGGGAACATGGCAGTGGGATGGTGAGAATGGCAACATGGCAGTGGGATGGTGAGAATGGGAACATGGCAGTGGGATGGTGAGAATGGGAACATGAGAGTGGAATGGTGAGAATGGGAACATGGCAGTGGGATGGTGAGAATGGGAACATGGCAGTGGGATGGTGAGAATGGGAACATGGCAGTGGGATGGTGAGAATGGGAACATGGCAGTGGGATGGTGAGAATGGGAACATTGCAGAGGGATGGTGAGAATGGGAACATGGCAGTGGGATGGTGAGAATGGCAACATGGCAGTGGGATGGTGAGAATGGGAACATGGCAGTGGGATGGTGAGAATGGGAACATGGCAGTGGGATGGTGAGAATGGGAACATGGCAGTGGGATGGTGAGAATGGGAACATGGCAGTGGGATGGTGAGAATGGGACGATGGCAGTGGGATGGTGAGAATGGGAACATGGCAGTGGGATGGTGAGAATGGGAACATGGCAGTGGGATGGTGTAAATGGGAACATGGCAGTGGGATGGTGAGAATGGGAACATGGCAGTGGGATGGTGAGAATGGGAACATGGCAGTGGGATGGTGAGAATGGGAACATGGCAGTGGGATGGTGAGAATGGCAACATGGCAGTGGGATGGTGAGAATGGGAACATGGCAGTGGGATGGTGAGAATGGCAACATGGCAGTGGGATGGTGAGAATGGGAACATGGCAGTGGGATGGTGAGAATGGGAACATGGCAGTGGGATGGTGAGAATGGCAACATGGCAGTGGGATGGTGAGAATGGGAACATGGCAGTGGGATGGTGAGAATGGCAACATGGCAGTGGGATGGTGAGAATGGGAACATGGCAGTGGGATGGTGAGAATGGGAACATGGCAGTGGGATGGTGAGAATGGGAACATGGCAGTGGGATGGTGAGAATGGGAACATGGCAGTGGGATGGTGAGAATTTGAACTTGGCAGTGGGATGGTGAAAATGGCGACATGGCAGTGAGATGGTGAGAATGGGAACATAGCAGTGGGATGGTGAGAATGGGAACATGGCAGTGGGATGGTGAGAATGGCAACATGGCAGTGGGATGGTGAGAATGGCAACATGGCAGTGGGATGGTGAGAATGGGAACATGGCAGTGGGATGGTGAGAATGGGAACATGGCAGTGGGATGGTGAGAATGGCAACATGGCAGTGGGATGGTGAGAATGGGAACATGGCAGTGGGATGGTGAGAATGGGAACATGGCAGTGGGATGGTGAGAATGGGAACATGGCAGTGGGATGGTGAGAATGGGAACATGGCAGTGGGATGGTGAGAATGGGAACATGGCAGTGGGATGGTGAGAATGGGAACATGGCAGTGGGATGGTGAGAATGGGAACATGGCAGTGGGATGGTGAGAATGGGAACATGGCAGTGGGATGGTGAGAATGGGAACATGGCAGTGGGATGGTGAGAATGGGAACATGGCAGTGGGATGGTGAGAATGGGAACATGGCAGTGGGATGGTGAGAATGGCAACATGGCAGTGCCATGGTGAGAATGGCAACATGGCAGTGGGATGGTGAGAATGGGAACATGGCAGTGGGATGGTGAGAATGGGAACATGGCAGTGGGATGGTGAGAATGGGAACATGGCAGTGGGATGGTGAGAATGGGAACATGGCAGTGGGATGGTGAGAATGGGAACATGGCAGTGGGATGGTGAGAATGGGAACATGGCAGTGGGATGGTGAGAATGGGAACATGGCAGTGGGATGGTGAGATTGCGAACATGGCAGTGGGATGGTGAGAATAAGAACATGGCAGAGGGATGGTGAGAATGGGAACATGGCAGTGGGATGGTGAGAATGGCAACATGGCAGTGGGATGGTGAGAATGGGAACATGGCAGTGGGATGGTGAGAATGGGAACATGGCAGTGGGATGGTGAGAATGGGAACATGGCAGTGGGATGGTGAGAATGGGAACATGGCAGTGGGATGGTGAGAATGGGAACATGGCAGTGGGATGGTGAGAATGGGAACATGGCAGTGGGATGGTGAGAATGGGAACATGGCAGTGGGATGGTGAGAATGGGAACATGGCAGTGGGATGGTGAGAATGGGAACATGGCAGTGGGATGGTGAGAATGGCAACATGGCAGTGGGATGGTGAGAATGGGAACATGGCAGTGGGATGGTGAGAATGGGAACATGGCAGTGGGATGGTGAGAATGGGAACATGGCAGTGGGATGGTGAGAATGGGAACATGGCAGTGGGATGGTGAGAATGGCAACATGGCAGTGGGATGGTGAGAATGGGAACATGGCAGTGGGATGGTGAGAATGGGAACATGGCAGTGGGATGGTGAGAATGGGAACATGGCAGTGGGATGGTGAGAATGGCAACATGGCAGTGGGATGGTGAGAATGGGAACATGGCAGTGGGATGGTGAGAATGGGAACATGGCAGTGGGATGGTGAGAATGGCAACATGGCAGTGGGATGGTGAGAATGGGAACATGGCAGTGGGATGGTGAGAATGGGAACATGAGAGTGGAATGGTGAGAATGGGAACTTGGCAGTGGGATGGTGAGAATGGGAACATGGCAGTGGGATGGTGAGAATGGGAACATGGCAGTGGGATGGTGAGAATGGGAACATGGCAGTGGGATGGTGAGAATGGGAACATTGCAGAGGGATGGTGAGAATGGGAACATGGCAGTGGGATGGTGAGAATGGCAACATGGCAGTGGGATGGTGAGAATGGGAACATGGCAGTGGGATGGTGAGAATGGGAACATGGCAGTGGGATGGTGAGAATGGGAACATGGCAGTGGGATGGTGAGAATGGGAACATGGCAGTGGGATGGTGAGAATGGGACGATGGCAGTGGGATGGTGAGAATGGGAACATGGCAGTGGGATGGTGAGAATGGGAACATGGCAGTGGGATGGTGAGAATGGGAACATGGCAGTGGGATGGTGAGAATGGGAACATGGCAGTGGGATGGTGAGAATGGGAACATGGCAGTGGGATGGTGAGAATGGGAACATGGCAGTGGGATGGTGAGAATGGGAACATGGCAGTGGGATGGTGAGAATGGGAACATGGCAGTGGGATGGTGAGAATGGCAACATGGCAGTGGGATGGTGAGAATGGGAACATGGCAGTGGGATGGTGAGAATGGCAACATGGCAGTGGGATGGTGAGAATGGGAACATGGCAGTGGGATGGTGAGAATGGGAACATGGCAGAGGGATAGTGAGAATGGGAACATGGCAGTGGGATGGTGAGAATGGGAACATGGCAGTGGGATGGTGAGAATGGGAACATGGCAGTGGGATGGTGAGAATGGGACGATGGCAGTGGGATGGTGAGAATGGGAACATGGCAGTGGGATGGTGAGAATGGGAACATGGCAGTGGGATGGTGAGAATGGGAACATGGCAGTGGGATGGTGAGAATGGGAACATGGCAGTGGGATGGTGAGAATGGGAACATGGCAGTGGGATGGTGAGAATGGGAACATGGCAGTGGGATGGTGAGAATGGGAACATGGCAGTGGGATGGTGAGAATGGGAACATGGCAGTGGGATGGTGAGAATGGCAACATGGCAGTGGGATGGTGAGAATGGGAACATGGCAGTGGGATGGTGAGAATGGGAACATGGCAGTGGGATGGTGAGAATGGCAACATGGCAGTGGGATGGTGAGAATGGGAACATGGCAGTGGGATGGTGAGAATGGCAACATGGCAGTGGGATGGTGAGAATGGGAACATGGCAGTGGGATGGTGAGAATGGGAACATGGCAGTGGGATGGTGAGAATGGGAACATGGCAGTGGGATGGTGAGAATGGGAACATGGCAGTGGGATGGTGAGAATTTGAACTTGGCAGTGGGATGGTGAGAATGGGAACATGGCAGTGGGATGGTGAGAATGGGAACATGGCAGAGGGATAGTGAGAATGGGAACATGGCAGTGGGATGGTGAGAATGGGAACATGGCAGTGGGATGGTGAGAATGGGAACATGGCAGTGGGATGGTGAGAATGGGAACATGGCAGTGGGATGGTGAGAATGGGAACATGGCAGTGGGATGGTGAGAATGGGAACATGGCAGTGGGATGGTGAGAATGGGAACATGGCAGTGGGATGGTGAGAATGGCAACATGGCAGTGGGATGGTGAGAATGGGAACATGGCAGTGGGATGGTGAGAATGGGAACATGGCAGTGGGATGGTGAGAATGGGAACATGGCAGTGGGATGGTGAGAATGGCAACATGGCAGTGGGATGGTGAGAATGGGAACATGGCAGTGGGATGGTGAGAATGGGAACATGGCAGTGGGATGGTGAGAATGGCAACATGGCAGTGGGATGGTGAGAATGGGAACATGGCAGTGGGATGGTGAGAATGGGAACATGAGAGTGGAATGGTGAGAATGGGAACATGGCAGTGGGATGGTGAGAATGGGAACATGGCAGTGGGATGGTGAGAATGGGAACATGGCAGTGGGATGGTGAGAATGGGAACATGGCAGTGGGATGGTGAGAATGGGAACATTGCAGAGGGATGGTGAGAATGGGAACATGGCAGTGGGATGGTGAGAATGGCAACATGGCAGTGGGATGGTGAGAATGGGAACATGGCAGTGGGATGGTGAGAATGGCAACATGGCAGTGGGATGGTGAGAATGGGAACATGGCAGTGGGATGGTGAGAATGGCAACATGGCAGTGGGATGGTGAGAATGGCAACATGGCAGTGGGATGGTGAGAATGGGAACATGGCAGTGGGATGGTGAGAATGGGAACATGGCAGTGGGATGGTGAGAATGGGAACATGGCAGTGGGATGGTGAGAATGGGAACATGGCAGTGGGATGGTGAGAATGGGAACATGGCAGTGGGATGGTGAGAATGGGAACATGGCAGTGGGATGGTGAGAATGGGAACATGGCAGTGGGATGGTGAGAACGGAAACATGGCAGTGGGATGGTGAGAATGGGAACATGGCAGTGGGATGGTGAGAATGGGAACATGGCAGTGGGATGGTGAGAATGGCAACATGGCAGTGGGATGGTGAGAATGGGAACATGGCAGTGGGATGGTGAGAATGGGAACATGGCAGTGGGATGGTGAGAATGGCAACATGGCAGTGGGATGGTGAGAATGGCAACATGGCAGTGGGATGGTGAGAATGGGAACATGGCAGTGGGATGGTGAGAATGGGAACATGGCAGTGGGATGGTGAGATTAGGAACATGGCAGTGGGATGGTGAGAATGGGAACATGACAGTGGAATGGTGAGAATGGGAACATGGCAGTGGGATGGTGAGAATGGGAACATGGCAGTGGGATGGTGAGAATGGGAACATGGCAGTGGGATGGTGAGAATGGGAACATGGCAGTGGGATGGTGAGAATGGGAACATGGCAGTGGGATGGTGAGAATGGGAACATGGCAGTGGGATGGTGAGAATGGCAACATGGCAGTGGGATGGTGAGAATGGGAACATGGCAGTGGGATGGTGAGAATGGGAACATGGCAGTGGGATGGTGAGAATGGGAACATGGCAGTGGGATGGTGAGAATGGGAACATGGCAGTGGGATGGTGAGAATGGCAACATGGCAGTGGGATGGTGAGAATGGGAACATGGCAGTGGGATGGTGAGAATGGGAACATGGCAGTGGGATGGTGAGAATGGCAACATGGCAATGTGATGGTGAGAATGGGAACATGGCAGTGGGATGGTGAGAATGGGAACATGGCAGTGGGATGGTGAGAATGGGAACATGGCAGTGGGATGGTGAGAATGGGAACATGGCAGTGGGATGGTGAGAATGGGAACATGGCAGTGGGATGGTGAGAATGGGAACATGGCAGTGGGATGGTGAGATTAGGAACATGGCAGTGGGATGGTGAGAATGGGAACATGGCAGTGGGATGGTGAGAATGGGAACATGGCAGTGGGATGGTGAGAATGGGAACATGGCAGTGGGATGGTGAGAATGGCAACATGGCAGTGGGATGGTGAGAATGGGAACATGGCAGTGGGATGGTGAGAATGGGAACATGGCAGTGGGATGGTGAGAATGGCAACATGGCAGTGGGATGGTGAGAATGGGAACATGGCAGTGGGATGGTGAGAATGGGAACATGGCAGTGGGATGGTGAGAATGGCAACATGGCAGTGGGATGGTGAGAATGGGAACATGGCAGTGGGATGGTGAGAATGGGAACATGGCAAGAGGGATGGTGAGAATGGGAACATGGCAGTGGGATGGTGAGAATGGCAACATGGCAGTGGGATGGTGAGAATGGGAACATGGCAGTGGGATGGTGAGAATGGGAACATGGCAGTGGGATGGTGAGAATGGGAACATGGCAGTGGGATGGTGAGAATGGGAACATGGCAGTGGGATGGTGAGAATGGGAACATGGCAGTGGGATGGTGAGAATGGCAACATGGCAGTGGGATGGTGAGAATGGGAACATGGCAGTGGGATGGTGAGAATGGGAACATGGCAGTGGGATGGTGAGAATGGGAACATGGCAGTGGGATGGTGAGAATGGGAACATGGCAGTGGGATGGTGAGAATGGCAACATGGCAGTGGGATGGTGAGAATGGGAACATGGCAGTGGGATGGTGAGAATGGGAACATGGCAGTGGGATGGTGAGAATGGGAACATGGCAGTGGGATGGTGAGAATGGCAACATGGCAGTGGGATGGTGAGAATGGGAACATGGCAGTGGGATGGTGAGAATGGCAACATGGCAGTGGGATGGTGAGAATGGCAACATGGCAGTGGGATGGTGAGAATGGGAACATGGCAGTGGGATGGTGAGAATGGGAACATGAGAGTGGAATGGTGAGAATGGGAACTTGGCAGTGGGATGGTGAGAATGGGAACATGGCAGTGGGATGGTGAGAATGGGAACATGGCAGTGGGATGGTGAGAATGGGAACATGGCAGTGGGATGGTGAGAATGGGAACATTGCAGAGGGATGGTGAGAATGGGAACATGGCAGTGGGATGGTGAGAATGGGAACATGGCAGTGGGATGGTGAGAATGGGAACATGGCAGTGGGATGGTGAGAATGGGAACATGGCAGTGGGATGGTGAGAATGGGAACATGGCAGTGGGATGGTGAGAATGGGAACATGGCAGTGGGATGGTGAGAATGGGAACATGGCAGTGGGATGGTGAGAATGGGAACATGGCAGTGGGATGGTGAGAATGGCAACATGGCAGTGGGATGGTGAGAATGGGAACATGGCAGTGGGATGGTGAGAATGGCAACATGGCAGTGGGATGGTGAGAATGGGAACATGGCAGTGGGATGGTGAGAATGGGAACATGGCAGTGGGATGGTGAGAATGGGAACATGGCAGTGGGATGGTGAGAATGGGAACATGGCAGTGGGATGGTGAGAATGGCAACATGGCAGTGGGATGGTGAGAATGGGAACATGGCAGTGGGATGGTGAGAATGGCAACATGGCAGTGGGATGGTGAGAATGGGAACATGGCAGTGGGATGGTGAGAATGGGAACATGGCAGAGGGATAGTGAGAATGGGAACATGGCAGTGGGATGGTGAGAATGGGAACATGGCAGTGGGATGGTGAGAATGGGAACATGGCAGTGGGATGGTGAGAATGGGACGATGGCAGTGGGATGGTGAGAATGGGAACATGGCAGTGGGATGGTGAGAATGGGAACATGGCAGTGGGATGGTGAGAATGGGAACATGGCAGTGGGATGGTGAGAATGGGAACATGGCAGTGGGATGGTGAGAATGGGAACATGGCAGTGGGATGGTGAGAATGGGAACATGGCAGTGGGATGGTGAGAATGGGAACATGGCAGTGGGATGGTGAGAATGGGAACATGGCAGTGGGATGGTGAGAATGGCAACATGGCAGTGGGATGGTGAGAATGGGAACATGGCAGTGGGATGGTGAGAATGGGAACATGGCAGTGGGATGGTGAGAATGGCAACATGGCAGTGGGATGGTGAGAATGGGAACATGGCAGTGGGATGGTGAGAATGGCAACATGGCAGTGGGATGGTGAGAATGGGAACATGGCAGTGGGATGGTGAGAATGGGAACATGGCAGTGGGATGGTGAGAATGGGAACATGGCAGTGGGATGGTGAGAATGGGAACATGGCAGTGGGATGGTGAGAATTTGAACTTGGCAGTGGGATGGTGAGAATGGGAACATGGCAGTGGGATGGTGAGAATGGGAACATGGCAGAGGGATAGTGAGAATGGGAACATGGCAGTGGGATGGTGAGAATGGGAACATGGCAGTGGGATGGTGAGAACGGGTACATGGCAGTGGGATGGTGAGAATGGGAACATGGCAGTGGGATGGTGAGAATGGGAACATGGCAGTGGGATGGTGAGAATGGGAACATGGCAGTGGGATGGTGAGAATGGGAACATGGCAGTGGGATGGTGAGAATGGCAACATGGCAGTGGGATGGTGAGAATGGGAACATGGCAGTGGGATGGTGAGAATGGGAACATGGCAGTGGGATGGTGAGAATGGGAACATGGCAGTGGGATGGTGAGAATGGCAACATGGCAGTGGGATGGTGAGAATGGGAACATGGCAGTGGGATGGTGAGAATGGGAACATGGCAGTGGGATGGTGAGAATGGCAACATGGCAGTGGGATGGTGAGAATGGGAACATGGCAGTGGGATGGTGAGAATGGGAACATGAGAGTGGAATGGTGAGAATGGGAACATGGCAGTGGGATGGTGAGAATGGGAACATGGCAGTGGGATGGTGAGAATGGGAACATGGCAGTGGGATGGTGAGAATGGGAACATGGCAGTGGGATGGTGAGAATGGGAACATTGCAGAGGGATGGTGAGAATGGGAACATGGCAGTGGGATGGTGAGAATGGCAACATGGCAGTGGGATGGTGAGAATGGGAACATGGCAGTGGGATGGTGAGAATGGCAACATGGCAGTGGGATGGTGAGAATGGGAACATGGCAGTGGGATGGTGAGAATGGCAACATGGCAGTGGGATGGTGAGAATGGCAACATGGCAGTGGGATGGTGAGAATGGGAACATGGCAGTGGGATGGTGAGAATGGGAACATGGCAGTGGGATGGTGAGAATGGGAACATGGCAGTGGGATGGTGAGAATGGGAACATGGCAGTGGGATGGTGAGAATGGGAACATGGCAGTGGGATGGTGAGAATGGGAACATGGCAGTGGGATGGTGAGAATGGGAACATGGCAGTGGGATGGTGAGAACGGAAACATGGCAGTGGGATGGTGAGAATGGGAACATGGCAGTGGGATGGTGAGAATGGGAACATGGCAGTGGGATGGTGAGAATGGCAACATGGCAGTGGGATGGTGAGAATGGGAACATGGCAGTGGGATGGTGAGAATGGGAACATGGCAGTGGGATGGTGAGAATGGGAACATGGCAGTGGGATGGTGAGAATGGGAACATGGCAGTGGGATGGTGAGAATGGGAACATGGCAGTGGGATGGTGAGAATGGGAACATGGCAGTGGGATGGTGAGAATGGCAACATGGCAGTGGGATGGTGAGAATGGGAACATGGCAGTGGGATGGTGAGAATGGGAACATGGCAGTGGGATGGTGAGAATGGGAACATGGTAGAGGGATGGTGAGAATGGGAACATGGCAGTGGGATGGTGAGAATGGCAACATGGCAATGTGATGGTGAGAATGGGAACATGGCAGTGGGATGGTGAGAATGGCAACATGGCAGTGGGATGGTGAGAATGGGAACATGGCAGTGGGATGGTGAGAATGGGAACATGGCAGTGGGATGGTGAGAATGGGAACATGGCAGTGGGATGGTGAGAATGGGAACATGGCAGTGGGATGGTGAGAATGGGAACATGGCAGTGGGATGGTGAGAATGGCAACATGGCAGTGGGATGGTGAGAATGGCAACATGGCAGTGGGATGGTGAGAATGGGAACATGGCAGTGGGATGGTGAGAATGGGAACATGGCAGTGGGATGGTGAGAATGGCAACATGGCAGTGGGATGGTGAGAATGGGAACATGGCAGTGGGATGGTGAGAATGGGAACATGGCAGTGGGATGGTGAGATTAGGAACATGGCAGTGGGATGGTGAGAATGGGAACATGACAGTGGAATGGTGAGAATGGGAACATGGCAGTGGGATGGTGAGAATGGGAACATGGCAGTGGGATGGTGAGAATGGGAACATGGCAGTGGGATGGTGAGAATGGGAACATGGCAGTGGGATGGTGAGAATGGGAACATGGCAGTGGGATGGTGAGAATGGGAACATGGCAGTGGGATGGTGAGAATGGCAACATGGCAGTGGGATGGTGAGAATGGGAACATGTCTTTCGTTGCAGTTGGAAAGAAACTTATCTTTCCCAACTCGTTCCAGTTGGTTTGCCTTTGTTGTTCACTTCTGTCATAACAGAAATTGGAACAACATGGCGGATGAGATTCAGGCGGGTACAACCAATTTTGGTACATTGGCAGTGCAAAACTTTCTGTTTTGTGTGAAGAAGAGATGTTGGTGACGTATGGTGATCAAGGGAAAATCCCTGCTGTTGTGAAAACTTGCATTATTACAATAGATGCCTCACAACACAAACCTTTTGTTTACCCTCCATCGTGTGGTCCAGAGTGGAAGTTAGTTTGGACCACCTACTCAAATTCTCTATTTTTTCCATGGAAGATATGCCACACTTTTTGTCCTTTTTCAACCAATAGCTTCACACTTCAAATCTTTGCCCTCTATCACAAAATCCTTTAAAAGCTTCAATGTCCTGCAAGGGATAGGACAATTCGGTGCAGATCCTCATGACGGGTATGCTGGTGCGGGGATACCGCCAAGTCAAGGTGACGCCACGGCAGTCTGACATCGAAGTTGGTGTCAGGTTGGCGGAATGACATGGCGCAACGCCAAACACCAGCTCGGGCAGCCTCCAAATCTTGTCACTAAGTTATGAGGGTAGCAGACGAGCTTTGGTGGGGGGTGTGTGGGTACTTGTATTGTTTGCAGGGTTTGATTAAAGCCCGCGTCTAGAATGGTAAGGGTTCAACTTCAAGATTCTTGAACTTGTTTTCGTCAAGAACAAAATAACCAGGTTCAGAAAGCAGAAAGATGACCATGTGATTGGTCATCACTGCCTTCGCAACGAACCGGTTATGTGCGAGGGCAGTGACGACCAATCACACGACGGTTCGTTGTTGATAAAATTGCAACCGTCATGAAAGTGCAAAATGGTTACGCGCCCTAAGATCATGGCGTGACCAACGGCGTAGAATAGCTCAACCGTCAAATGACTCCGCCCGGCGGAGCTCGCTGCCCGCGGGCAAAAAGAAGGAAACCCATTGTTGAAACTCTGCTCTTTGCCCCCGTACCACCTGCGTCCATGACACAAGCGAGGGTTTCATTCAAGCCACTCTCAGAAGATGAACCCACCCTGCGGCGGATGATACCCCCTCTCTCCCCAAAAACTAAGGGCGCGTCCCCTCCCTCGATCGATCGCGAGATCGCTGTGAAAAACTGATCGGGCACACCAACCGCAGGATTGGGGCGGGATTGGTGGGAGGAGACACTCGGGGATCGGTCTCGAGCCCAGGGTGACAGGATCGAAAATACAAGGGGAAAAACTCTCGATCCTACAAAAGCCGACATCGGTGTGGCCAGGAAGACACATCGATCGTCATCAATGGAGGTGACAAGCTCGTTGAGCACCAGTCTTTGTACATTTGCAAGCCGTCTCGAAATTCGGTTACCCTGTCAATTGCAATGCTGTAACTGTCCCTCGATCGATCGAGGGCAGGATCGATCGAGGGAGGGGACGCGCCCTAACTATGACACCCCCAATAGAGCTCCGTTCTGCTAGAGTCAATCTTCACGTCATCAGAAAGCACTGGCCAGCTCTTTCTCATATGTCTGATCCACATCCTCTCCAAGGCAGCCCTTCCAAGAATATATGGAAGACAGGCCGGGGAACATGCATTTGGTGGCGACGTAGACAAGCGCACGCGAAATAGACAAGCGCCTGGCGTTTCTCAAATTTTGCCAGACAAAAAAAGACAAGACGCAGACTGGCGAAAAAAAAAAAGCTTTCATATAGTTATAAAAATATGATTCACGAAATTTCGCCAACATTTCGTTAGACATGAACAGTGCCGTTAGCGACCGTCGCCAAAAAGGGGTCGCGTAGAGGGGTCGACTGTAACAAACAGAAAACTCAATGTGTTCAACTTTGGAAGCTTACAAACATATTTCATTTCAGAATGTGGCCCACAGAGATGCAAAATTGGAAGCCACAGAAATGGCTTAGTGTTAGGAAATGTCATAGGTGGCTTTTTTTCTTTTCATATTTCGTTAGCTTTAGGTATCTTGTGCAGAAACACAACAGAAAGAAATGGCAAAAACACCTTCAAGGGTGTTTTTTAGGGGCAAATTCTAGACTTTTGGGGTAGCTTTAAATGCTCATAACCACTTGGTTAGTGGTTCAAATCATCATTTTGATAGCTCAATCTTCTCCCCTTGACATCCTCTTCTGGTTAGGCAATATATGTATATATATATATATATATTTTGTTTGGGGTAAATTCACCAAAACCAACATAACAATCTATACCAACGAAGCACCTAGCACTTGACACCTCATTCTCTGGCTATCATGGACAGTTGTAATTTTCAAGCTTGTTTTTTTTTTGGTTTTAGAAGTATGTGCTGCAATTGTCACCTTCTATGCTGGCAGTCTGCATACTCACATTTGGTTGTTTCAGCAACCTTGTTAATTTTTCGACAAGATCGCCGGCTTTTGCATAAAGCTTTGTGAACCATTGTTTTGTTGGTGTAAGGGCCTAATAAACTCAAGCTATTAGGACTTAATCAAACTTAAAACCTCTCCTCGGGGTCACCTCCAAGGGTCCCTGGGTGCCTGGTACAAGACCAGCCCCTATCCTCGGGTCCGAGTTTGTAGAGAGAGGGATCAAGAAGGACTTAGTCAAAACAGCAAGAGTACCTTGAACGTCGCGCAGCGTGCCGTGCAGACCGTCGGTCGGATTAAGCTGAGAATTCGCTATATCGAAGCTCGCTCCAAGAGCTTTAAAATGAGCCAAGTTGCCTCGCGAAAAGTTCTGCCATCACTAAGTTATGGCTCGGACTGCGTTTGCCTAGCGTTGGAGTGCTAGCATACTAGCGTTGACTCGGGTAGCATTCCGCCGTCGAATAGCGCAGAAACGAAATTCCAGCGAGGAAGGAATTCGCTTGAATCAATTTGACTATATTCAGGTACAAACAGAGAAGGATTAAATAGTTCTAGCTAGCAAGGACCTTGGGAATCAACCTGGGAACAACCAGGGATGATCCCAAATAATTCCAAGCAACAGAACCAACCTGGCTGGACAAAATAGCAGGTGGTAGGTTGGTAAACAACCTCTGGTTCTGTTTTTCCAACCTGGGAAAACAACAACCAGGTTCAGGTTCTAAAAACAGAACCTGTTTTGTCTTTGCCCAACCAGCCAAATGCTGGTTCCGCTGGTTTCCCCTGGCCTTGTAGCATGCAGATACAGACAAACAACATCCAACCTTCACCTAAATTGTACCCCTATAGTGCCTTCCCTGCTACACTATAGTTAACCAAACAAAACAGTACAATTTCGAGTTGGATAGAACTGAATCTGCGCAATCAACTCAACCGAACTGCAAAGCTTCCATCTTGGGTTCCTTTGCGAGCTCGTCCTTTCTGCTTGCACTGTTCATAGCGCGTACAATGTTGTGCCGAAGCGCACATTGCGCGAGTACCTGCAAATGCATCAAGCGAAAAATGCGAAAGCAAACAAACACACGAACACACCATTCACACGCAAATGCATTCGCACACGCATACTTGTACAAACAGACGGCAGGATGTCGTGCAATGTGCATTTGCACCCAACACACTCCCCCTCAGCCTGCCGGCTGCATCCCCGTCATTCCATGCTAGTTCATGCTCATTCCACTCATGCGCACACAACGCCAATGAGGCTCATCCGCAAGCCTCTTGGTGAGAAAGTCTGCTGGCTGCTGGTGAGTCTTGATGTAGATTGGATTCACCGTCCCCCTCTTCACCTCCTTACGCAGCCAGTGCCACTTGATACGCATGTGCTTGTTCAGCCCATGAAGCACAGCGTTTCTGGCCATCCCAAGAGCCCCCTTGCTATCACAAAACAGCGGCATAGCAACTTTCTGCTCCTGGCCAATCTCCTCTAACAGCCTCCTCAGCCAAATCACCTCCTTCACCCCATGGAACATCGCCATGTACTCTGATTCTACGGAAGAGAGTGCCGTCTCCGTCTGCTTCTTGGACCTCCAACTAACAGGTCCTCCCCCAACTACGCAGATGTATCCTCCCACAGATGAGGAATCCTCCTTCTCAGAAGCCCACGTAGCATCGGTAAAGCAAGTGAGAAATAGCTTGCCTTCTCCAAGCCTCTCCCCCTTCTCTTTCAGCACCTCCACCCCTTTCTGCTTCACCTGTGCAGATGCGGAGTATTGAACTCCAATGCTTGGGTGAGAGTTCAGGTACTTCACCACATGCTCAGCTGCATCCACCTGCTCCTCTGATGGATTCTGCACCACCCTAGCCAGCTGCCCAACCGAGAAAGAGATGTCGGGCCTCGTGTGAACTGCTGCGTACAAGAGGCTGCCCACCAAGGACTGAAATTGCTGCTGCTCTTCAGCTTCAACCCCTTCATCCTCTGCAGCCTTCACAAGCTTGAATTCTGCTGGCAGGGGAGTTGCAACCTTGCGCTCATTCTCAATCCCATACTTCTCCCCCAGCTCCTTGATGAACTTCTCCTGGTGCAGCTTCAACCACCTGTGATCTGGATCCCTCTCCACGTGCATCCCGAGGTAGTACTTTACCTCCCCAAGGTTCTTGCACTTGAAGTTTTCCATCAGTTGCTGCTGCACTTTCTGGATCTCCTTCATGCTGCTGCTGAAGAGAAGAATGTCGTC